AAGTTATTTTCAAATCATTTTATATGACAAATGGTATAGAGTTAAAAAATAAAAATTACATATCAAAATACTACAATAAAAGATCTATAAAACTAGTAGTGACAATAATATTTTATTTTCTTAAATTGCTAACGAAAATAGAAAAAGAAAGTGAATAAACTTTGACCCTGTGAATAGTGAATAGACATTGTAATTTAGGACGGACTGACGGAGAGTGTAACATATTGGCATTGTGCGGCTTTTAAGAATGATAATCTCATCTTAAAATAAGATTTTATATTACGGAGCAAGTAGTACTATTTAAAAGGTTGAATCTTACTTCCTCCGTCCCGCTATATTCGTCCACTTTTGACTTTTGGAACTGTTCATCTAAGCATTTTGACTCATCAAATTCTCTCAATGTGTAAGCCTAAATATAGTCATGCGTGATCTTGTTTGATTTGTCTTAACATATAGATTATTAATATATAATTTCTATAATTTTTTTATATACAAATTACAAGATAAAATGGATTAAAAAAGTGTATTGGATGGTGTGCAAAAATGAAAGTGGACAAATATAGTGGGACGGAGGGAGTATATGTTCTCTTACCCTAACCCTACAGTTTTATAATGGTACTCTTTCTGTTCCATTTTAAATTGTCTATTTTTTTCTGTCTCAAAATAAGTTGCCGGTTTCTTTGTTATTGTAAACTTTTAAGAATAAAATACCTAAAGTATTCCTAAAATAAGTCACTGTTCTCCACTTTATCTTTTCATTCATCGTCACGCCTCCTAAAAAGTAATAATAATTTCAAAAGGTCAACTTTATTTTTTCTCTTCCTTAAATATGTCTCAAAGTCAGAACGGGCGATTTAAAATGGGACGGAGGGAGTATTCAATAACTATGTGTTTTCTCAAATTAGTTTCAAAAATAACTAATTTCCGAAATGGTACTCGGTAATTGAGAATAATGCTCAGTTCAGTCCATTCGATTAACGGCCGTTAAAATGATGTTAAAAAGAAATTAAATTTTATACTCCTGTCCCAATTTATAGTGTATGTTCACTATATACAGGTTCAAACTTCAATTACTTTCTCTTTTTATTTTTGTTAGCAAATGTGATAAAATAAAGTATGATTTTTACTACTAGTTTTGTAGATCTTTTGATGTAGCATTTTAATATGTAATTTTAATTTGTTAACTCTATACCATTTGTCATATAAAATGATATTAAAATAATTTTAGTCAAACATCGTAAACCAAAATAGGCACTATAAATTGGGACGTAGGGAGTACTGTTTTCTCAAATTGGTACTTTCTGGGTGTTTTCTCAAATTAATCTATTTTCAAAATAAAAATACATTAATTATGAGAAAATATTTTAAATTTTATAGGATGATAATATAATACTAAAAACAATAAATATACTTTTACAAATTTGAAAGTAACGTTTTAGGTTATTTACAATTATTTAAAAGAATATCATGTAAACAAAATATTTAATATACGTTGAAAAAATCACTCTAAATAGTAGTAAAACATAAAGAAAAAGCTACTATTTTGATATTTTCTTTAATTTTTAATAAATCGCCCTACGTAGCACTCTAAGTCACTCAATATTATGCATATAGCACTCCTTAATCTTGTATACGAATTTAGCTATTTATAGTGTCAATATCTTCCAAGCATACCCTCCTCCTAAAACGTGCGACTCCTCCTCATTTGTGCGAGAGCATCATCCTACGCCGTTTACCAATAGCTTTGCGATATTCTCCTCATACACAGTTTACCAATGTATAATGCATAAAAGATTTGTACATATTAAATTAAGTTTCATATTTAACGTCCATGTTTGGCCATTGTGTTTTGGTGTAATAAATTTTTCAATCATACATTTTTTGGACAGTATAGAATTCATACATGAAAACAGTCATACATTTTTTGCAGTGTGGAATTCATTGTTGTATTTAGGTGCCCTAGCGGCAATCAAATACCTATGTAACTGTACACTTTATCATGAATGAAAGGCCTTGAAGTATGTTTTATATCTCGTGTAACATAACATAGCTTCAGTCCATAGACGATAGCGCTTCAGTAACATAGATGAGGACTACGATGTTCTGACTATGAGACTGTTACTTCTTGACGAAGGCTATGTCTAGAATATCTCTAGTCGCACTTTATGATAATATGGACGTCATAACGTATCAAGACTAGTACGTACGAGATGAGATAGTTGCGTCTCATAGACTATAGGTATTGTGATATCTTAATCTGTNTGGATCTACAGTAATGTGTTTATCAGTATTCTCAAATCGACCTTGCTATAACTATCCTCAGACTTGAAGTTATTACATTCTCTGATATGTGGGGCCGTATGCTTTGATTCATAACTAATGCTATCTGAAATACTGGTAGACGTACAGTTATGCGTTGGGTATGCCGCTAAGCATATTTAGAGATGTGAATAACAGATACAGGATCTGTCCCTTCTACTGTATAGAAGTATAATGTCAATGTGCCCACTGAATAGTAGGACTTGGGAAAGTGCATGGCCATGCCCAGATATGTCGCTATCTAGAGACTGATAAATATCTGAACCCTGCTAGTCTACTTGAGATTCAGTAACAGCTGATTTAACTATACAAGGATACACATCCCATGCCTTGTGTTAAATCATGACATATAGGACAGAAGGATAATAGTTATAGAACGTCTTGTGTCGTAGAAGGTATTGATGAGATGAATGTCTTTTTCATAATCTGGGGATAATAATGTGTTGCTAGATACCGCTTATTATCTATGGTATTAATTTATATTAATATCATTGCCAGTGTTATGGATACCTAAAGGGTCACACACTTAGGACTTGTAAGGGAGTAGTATACTACACTAGAGAGAGTAATATTAAATATATAGTTGTGATAATTTTATATATATCTGTATTTCGAAAATACATATGTATTTTAAAATCATATTTTGTTTGTGTCATTTTAATTATATGATAATTATATTTTGACAAAACAAATTTTTATTATATATATATATATGTAGCGCCGATATATATATATATATATATATATATATATATATATATATATATATATATATATATATATATATATATATATATATATATATATTACTTTTATTTTCATCATTTTAATTATATGATAATTATTGATGCAAAAATAAAATGTAATGTATTTTAATATACACTAACTGATAAGTCCGTTTCGTTCTTATCATTTGCATCATATTCTAAACATTATTGCACGTAAATAATATTTAATCATCTCATAAAATGTGATTTTAATGGTTAGAACTCTCATTTTCATTCTAAGAGTCATAAAAAGGGATTCCACATGAAGTCATCATAAATCATCCATTTTATGTTCAAATGCTTATGAAAAAGGGAATGAATCATCGAAGGATCAAAATTCGGGCTTGAATGAGCTTCCGGGAAGATAAAATCGACATTCGGGCCAAAAACCAGCGAAATTGGGCCAAGATCTCGCCTCAGCCGCGAAGCCCAAACGGACTAGGGCCTAAGGCGTCCAAGTTGGACGCTTGGGAGTTGGACGCTTTGGCTGGATTGCAAACCAAGGAAGACACGTGGCAGAACCTGGTTGGCCGGAGCAGCTCAAGCGTCCGAATCTGGACGCTTGGACTTGAACGCTTCGACTTGGACGCCTCGGCGTTTGTCCTATAAATACTGCGCGATTCTCCCCATTCAACACATCACTTTCATCCCCATTCTCGGGATTCGGAGGAATTCTACTCCCGGTCTGTTCTTTTCCGCTTTTCCGGAAGTTGTAAGTTTTCTTTATTTAATAAAATGATGTTTTAATTTATGTTTGCATAGTATGAGTTAGGGTCCGGATCTCTGGGTCCGAACTAGTTTGGTTGTTTATTTTTTATGTTAAATTAATGTTGGAATGGTTAATCTATTGCTCTTGCATTATTTAGTTAATTATTCTCGAAAGATTTAATTTAATATGATTAAATAGATCCAAAGAGAGATATGATGCAGAAAATGCTAGATGACTTCCAAAGAGAGAGACTAGAAGCTGAGGCTAAAGCTGATAAATTAGTCAATGATCTCTGCAAAGCTGTTGAACTTAAACGCTCCCTCCAATCTCAATCAAGATCAAATGAGGGAGATTAATGTTCAAAAAGAGGCTCTAGAACCTAAGACCAACCCTAAACCCATCAACCAACAGGTCCCGGTTCTAGAAGATTCACCTAATTCCGCACCATCACAAAAACCCGAGAGCATAATAACTCTCGCTAGGGCTACTGTGATGATGCTACCTGAATGTCCTCCTAGCCATGTCCGAGCCAGCATAGTCGTACAGAAGGTGGAACCAACTGAGGGACCTGACTCAGAACCACCTATGCTTATTCAAGAACAAGAGGAGGAGGAAGGAAATAAAGCCCACTACCTGCCCCCAAGATACCGAAGTGTTCGAGAAGGAATCTACAGACGAGGAAATACTTTGCTTGGAAAATCCAACTCCGTTTTTAGAGACCTGTGCAAATAATGACTCATCTGAAGATTCAGACCATACTTTCTTTGATTCCCTACTTGACGGATATGACTATGTCTACCCGAAGGATGGTTGGAACTCAAGGAGTTGGGATGAACTTTTAATGAGTGACGGAGATGACTCATCCTTGGGGGAAGGTTCGGTCATAATCATTCAACAAATAGATAGTCAGCCTATTGAAGACAAGGAAGAAATCAATCTTGCTATGAAGACCAATGATGTGGATCAACTGAGGAGACTTCCGCCACCACCCACCTATCTAGAGTCTCCTCTTTTTATCCTGTTGCCACCAAACCGCAGGGATGAGTCAAGGATCCTGGACCTTGACCGAGCAAAAACTCAAACAGGGTGGCATCAGAAGAGAGTCAAAAGGGCCAAACTTTATGACTCTCGGATCGGAAAGTCACGGAAAAAGTGGGTGAGCATCAAGCTACGGACGTTAAAGAAGCGCTTAACAGGAGGCAACCCGTCATTCAAATAACTAAAATATTTAAATAAATTCAATAATTTTATTTTCTACTTGCCGCACCAGTTGGGGGAAAGATTTTATTTGTTTTACTTTTCTATTTTAAATAGATGGATGTTGCTTGGATGATCCCGCATGGAAACCGCCGCACATTACAGAACCTGGAAGAGCTCCCCTTGCACTCAGAGGAAGCAAAGAAGAAGTTTCTCACTTGGGGAAACACGAAGATGCTCCAGCCTCCCATGGTGCTAGACCCTGCCTATCTGGATGAACTAGGGCACTGGCAGGACATTGATGAGTTGTTGTACGACCCAAAATGGAGGATCCTGTTGTTCTTGCATGCACCAGCTAGCCTGGAAGTCACCATCGAGTTTCTTTGCTCTCTCCGCTTCCTCAATGACGGAGAGGAGGTTAAGTCAGCAGCTGAAGTCACCTCCATCACAAAGGTCACGTTCACTTTGATGGGACCACTGCTGAACCTTACCGTGGCAGACTTAGGGTGGCTGATTGGTCTTTACACGCTTGATGAAACGCGGAGCCTTGCCTTTGCTAATCTGCCCGACCAGGTGGATCCAAAGTTCGATGTTAGGAAATTCTGGCAAGCTCACGGGCATGGATGATATCACAACGGAGCAAGCATAGCTAGGAATTGGGTGCGTCTGTCTTGGAGAATTTTACACCATGCATTGACTCATAGCTATTTCAGCCGTTCTCACGGCCCTGACGTGGTGTTTGATTCCGATATGCTATTTTTCTGGAGTCTGGAAGCACGGGTACCAGTCAATCTAGCAACTTTTGTGTCTCGATTCCTATTTGCTCAGTCAACTTGCAACCACCAGTTTGTCTTGTGTGGGCCAATGGTTACGCTTCTGGCCCGAGGATTATGTATGTCAGTTCCCGATGTTCTCCCAGAAGCTGCAAGCATGTTCCGTCCGCCAACAGGGTATTTGGCCCAGATTGCTTACAATAAGGAAGATAAGGAGGCACGTCCCAGACGGCAGCGTACTATGCCTATGACCCTTCGCGAGCTTTCGCAAGCTATGTTTGCATTTCAGGATTCTGTAGACTCTCGCTTGAGGAGCATGGAGACGGTCCTTCTCACGCAACAATGGCAGGTGGAGGAAATACTTGAATACACTTGGGAACAAGGAACAAAGAAGGCCGAGCATGGGGTAGGTCCTAAACAAGGCAAACGTCAGGGATAGTGAGATCCCTAATTTCTTATTACTGCATTCAGAACATCATTTTTGGATATTTATATGATCTTATTTTGGAATTCTATTCTTTTTATAACTCTTAAAACCCCTTTGAGATTATTTTATGAATTATTCATATTTACATGTTATGGTCATCTATTATTTCAATCTTCATTGTTGAATCTTATAAGTATTACGATAATTTAGCAATTGCATGTGAGCATTTCAACAATTAACTCCAATACCAATAACACTCTTAAACCACGAGGGCGTGGTTCCGTTTAAGTGTGAGGAGGCAAGAGTTATTTATTGAAATGATCTTTTTAGGAATCGTTTTGTCTATATATTTTTAGGAAAAGATTTTTATAGAACAGTCCTCAATTTTAATTGTTTGATTAATTAATCGTTTTAGTTATCACCCGTAAAAATTGGAAATTTTTAAAATTTTTGTCAAACTTCTATTTCTACTCTAACCTTTTTTGGAATGTTTTCTAAAGTTTTTAAGTTGCTTTATTGAAAATCTTTTTGCAAATACTCATGTATCTTTTGGGCTCTGAGTATTTGTTGTTTCTTAAAAAGAGTTATTTTCAAGTATATAGGGGTGGTGTTTCAAAGCATACTTTGGTGAGACCGAGATTCTTGTTTTAGCCAAAAAGCAGTTGGTTCTAGGTCAACTGATGAGGCGTGGTGAGTATGCCGAAAAGCACGTGGTTCTATATTGCGTGATGAGGCCTTTTGAGTGTTAGAGTAAAAAAGCATGTGTTTCTAAGTCGTGTGATGAGACTTTCTAGAGTGAATATCCAAAAAGCTCGTGGTTCCATGTCACGGGATGAGGTTATAATTTTTCTCGTGTCAACATGACAAAGTTATGCCAAAGAAAATTAAACCCTTACACTTTGACAAATACTTTTGCAAGAATATGTTTTCCAATTTAGTCAGTAAAAAAATTATTTGATCTTTAAAGTACTCTTACAAATGTAGTTATCCCAAAGAAAGTTTGGAAAATTATGGTTGTTTAGGTTGGTGTAAAAATATTGGTTTGCCAAAATTCTTTTACATTTCCAACAATATGGGTGAGAATCTAAAGGTTCATTTCTTCTTAACAAATAAGGTTGATGACTATCTTATTTCTTCTTTCTTTCATAATATGTAGCTTAAACCTTGCCTCTGCAATTATTAAATTGCCTTTATACTTGTAATTATTCAATTTGTTGCTTGAGGACAAGCAACGTTTAAGTGTGAGGAATTTGATAAGTCCGTTTCGTTCTTATCATTTGCATCATATTCTAAACTTTATTGCACGTAAATAATATTTAATCATCTCATAAAATGTGATTTTAATGGTTAGAACTCTCATTTTCGTTCTAAGAGTCATAAAAAGGGATTCCACATGAAGTCATCATAAATCATCCATTTTATGTTCAAATGCTTGAGAAAAAGGGAATGAATCATCGAAGGATCAAGATTCGGGCTTGAACGAGCTTCCGGGAAGAGAAAATCGACGTTCGGGCCAAAAACCAGCGAAATTGGGCCAAGATCTCACCTCAGCCGCAAAGCCCAAACGGACTAGGGCCTAAGGCGTCCAACTTGGACGCTTTGGCTGGATTGCAAACCAAGGAAGACACGTGGCAGAACCTGGTTGGCCGGAGTAGCTCAAGCGTCCGGATCTGGACGCCTAGACTTGGACGCTTCGACTTGGACGCCTCAGCCTCTGTCCTATAAATACATCGCGATTCTCCCCATTCAACACATCACTTTCATCCTCATTCTCGGGATTTGAGCTTATTATTGCAATTCCAAATTCTAGTTTATTATTATAATAGTTTTAGAGTAATTTTTGGAGGAATTCTACTCCCGATCTGTTCTGTTCCGCTTTTCTGGAAGTTGTAAGTTTTCTTTATTTAATAAAATGCTGTTTTAATTTATGTTTGCATATTATGAGTTAGGATCCGGATCTCTGGGTCCGGACTAGTTTGGTTGTTTATTTTTTATGTTAAATTAATGTTGGAATGGTTAATCTATTGCTCTTGCCTTATTTAGTTGATTATTCTCGAAAGATTTAATTAGCTATTTATTGAGAAAATATTGTATGTCAATTGACTATGATATTCAAGTGCAAGGGATTAAGTACAAATCTAGAAATGGATGGGTAGTAATAGAAATATTATTATTCCAATTGTTAATTTAATATGATTAAATAGATCCAAATGATGTCCAGACCCTAGCACCAGATCTACACTTATACTATGTAAACTTAATTTATTATTTCTACCCCGCTCCTTTTATACTCGTTCCGAGAAGACTTTCACAAACCAATCCTAATCTTCGCCTAATTAGAGTAATTAAACTAGTTCCCTTCGTAATCAATTTCAATCCTAATCTACGACACTCGGAGAGAAAACTAACCCCTTACTGGGAAGGTTTACTACCCGAAAAACTACAACTGTCACTAACACACTGCAGTAAGATATAAAAATATCTATTCTGCACTGCCACATTAAATACTCACATATAAAAAATCATACTATCCACTACACAGTTACAAGTTAACAACCACACTGCCCAAAATAGTTATATTTTTTGACAGTGTGTAATGAATATTTGTTGTTTAATTAAAGGAAAAAATCGGAATCACAGATACGAAACATATAGCACTAGGGGTGTTCATCGGGTCAAATCCGGACCGGGACCGGACTGAATAAGAGGAACTTTGTGGACCGAGGACAAGACCGCTTAAGGTAAGGACCAGACCGGGACCGGACCGGGACCGGACCGGTAAAACCCGGACCGGACCGGGACCAGACCGAATAAATGTAATTTTTTTATTTTTTTAAATTCGGTTTTATTTATTTAATTTAAAGTTTTCAATTGTAAAAAAGTATTACTACAATTAATTTTTCATGTGTAACATACACTAAACATTTTCAAACATTTTTTTAAACTTCAAATAAAATATATATCCTTCATCCATATTACATAAAATTTGTTTGTAATTTTTATTTTACATATACAATATTCTTCTTCTTACTGTGTTTTTACTTTTTTGTAATATTTTTTTTGTGTTTTTGGTTTGTTTTGATAGACGGATACATTTTTTTACTAATTTTGTTCATAAGATTATTTACAATATTTTTTTTGTTGATTGGATTTTTATAACTGATAAAGTACAAACTTAAAAATATTTAAATATCATTAGAATTAGTATCTTATTTTGAATTGGAATATATTGAAAAAATTATATTAAATAATAAAATCAAAATATCTTAAAAACTTTTGGTATTAAAGTTAAATTAATTTTAAGTATAAGAAAAAAATTTTAAAACTGTATTAGAAAAGTATATAAAAACAAATATTTAAAGAAAAATATAATGTAAACGGTCCACCGGACCGGACCGGACCGGAACCTGAATAAGAAAAATGTGAGGACCGAAGACCGGACCGAATAAGGACCGGTCCGGACCGGTTCGGTCTGGTTTTGGCCGAGTTTCGGGTCGGTCTGGGTTCAGATCGAATAATGCACACCCCTATATAGCACTGCTATTTAGAGTATTTTAATACTCTAAGAGTGCTATTTTAGTTTTTCTCCCTTAATTTTTCCTCCTATTTAGGGTGAATTCATTAATGATTATTAAACATTCAATTTACATGATATTTTTCTAAATAATTATAAATAATTGAAAACATTTGATTTTAAAATGTTTTAAGTATCATATTGTCATCCTATAGAATTTAAAATATTTTTCCATAATTAATGTATTTTTATTTCAAAAAAATTTGAGAAAACACTCAGTTAGAAGTTTCATTTTGGGAAAGTGGGATAAAGTTTAACATCGTCTTAACTTCATTTTAACGTCCGTTAGTTGAGGGACTGAACTAAACATTATTCTCAATTAACAAGAATCATCTTTGAAATTAGTTAATTTTAATGACTAATTTGAAAAAAACACATATTTATTGAGTACCATTTAGAGAATTTTCTCATAAGATAATGAGCTCTAACAGACTTTAACGGAACTGTTTGGCTTAAAAACTAAAAACAATGAAAAAATACAATTTAAAAAAGTGAAATTTGCACGAAATAGGACTAAAACATAATGACTTTCCTAATGTAGGACTTAAACTTTTTTATTCCCTAAATAGACCTTAATAATGACCTAGTGGGAGAAATAATATCTAGTAATGATCGACATTTACTTAAATAATGACTGCTTCATAATGACCAAAGGTTATACATTGAGAAATAAAAATATATGATCTAATATTAGGAAAGTCATTATATTTTAGTCCTATTTTAGTAAACTTCTCTTTAAAAAAATTAAGATTGAAAAGAACAAACACTTCGCTTAAAACTCCTACAAAACTCAAGCGCAGGGTACTACACGGTACAAATTCTTCAGTCAAATCTTCTGGGATTCTCTATACATCCCAGACAATAGATCCAAAAGCTCTAAAGTAACATATCGAATTATTGGAATAGCAATTGTTCAACGAGGGGTTGAGCATTTGAAAAGACATCTGAAAGAAGCATTAAAAAAAAGAAATTCTGATTTTGAAATCATATGATTTCGAAAAGAACGAAAATTACATGATTTCAAAATTTTCATTTTGAAAACCAGAATCGCATACGTCTCACTTCGAATATAACATGCAAAATCTCATCACTTTTAAAATAATTATATTTGCAAATTGGAATAAAAATAAATAGTGCAAATTACATATTTCAAAACTACACCAAAAGTTTAATAAAAGATGCAACAAGATTATTTTATTTTATCAAATCATAATAAAAACACACAAATAAATGAAAGTTGTCAGAAGACTAGAATAGTAATTGAGAAGATTATTGTGGGACGGAGGTAGTATTTCATTTTTTTTTATATAAAAAAATTAATACCAGAAATTGTGATTAAGATTCGAAATTCACAAAATCACCCCAACAAATGCAAACCAAATACACTATGTATGATTTATGAACCTTAGTACATAATCAATACAGCAAGGTACCTTCATACAATTGATATAGACAATGTCACCTTCTTGGTCTTTTCTTTGCTTGTTTTGTAGCGAGCGGCTCAGATAGATCTACCTCGAGATTCCGTTTATTCAACTGAGAAGATGGAGTTGCAGCTCTCTTTGGTGGCCTACCAGACACCTTTCGAAAGGTTCCCTTTTGTATAACCTGTTCAAGAGGGGGTTTTGAAGACAAGGGAAGTTCTTTTCTACTCTTGTTATCATCACTGAGTGGGGTGCTCTTCACAGCATCCAT